GGCCATCTTTGTGAAAAGAAACCGTCCATCATTAAACAGGGGTGGAGCCTCCAGGTTCAACTGTCCCCCTCTTACAATGCTGTGATTGCTAGTATCACTCAGCCCTCTGTGAACAGTAAACAGCCATCAGGTGCTAATGATCCATTGTTAGGCTGATGGTCCTTCTTGAGCATGTGATCAGCTGGTTTTGGTTGTCAGCAGCAAACTGGTTGATCCACTCTGAGAAGGTGCTATTTAAGAGACTGAGCTGAATACAGCACCTCAGACTGAGGAAGTCTCTCGGATGAGAGACGAAACGTTTCTACATTTTTTTTGTGCTTTGTTTTGTTTTTTGTTTTTTTGAATGTCCAGAGGACGAGATTGAACTTTCTTGGATTTTTCTACCTGGATTATTGAGCATGCATCAGGATAATCATGGACTGTTCTCACCCGGGTTTTGAACTGTTTGACTTGTTACCTTCAGGGAAGCGCTACAGGTGCATCAGAACAAGAACAAACAGGTTCAAGAACAGTTTTTTTCCCGAAAGCCATCACCACACTGAACTCACACATGCACTGATTTAATAATCTAACCTCCCAAACCCCTGGACTTCTACTGTGCAATACTACTGACATTTCATACTCTCAGTCACCTTAACTACCTCACTAATATCCATAATGTGCAATACAATTGTGTAATACTTGTATTTTTTACTTTCATTATTATATCTATATTGCGTTACATTTTTTTATATTTTTAGTGTGTGTTTAATGTGTGTTTTCTTAAGGCGTGTTTTTGCACTGGAAAAAGGAGTGGCTCTTAATTTCATTGTACTGCGTATAATGACAATAAAGGCATTCTGATTCTGATTCTATGTTCTGCTGACTTATGAAAGATGTTTCTATTGAGCGGTAAAAACAGAAGTTGATTTGAACGAGACCATCAGGCTTAAATTGCTGAATTAAATATATAAAGAGACATCACAGAACAGCTGACAAAAGTGAGGTAATGTTGACGACGGCGCCTCACCTCCCCTTGGCGTCGTGTTTTTGGTGAAGAACTGAAGAAGTTGTGCAGGATGGACAGGTCGCTGCTGAACAGAGCTGCCTCCTTCTCCACGATGTACTGCTTCAGAAGGGGCGACACCTCGTCGCCAAACAGAGCCTGGTTGTCCTGCCAGATCTGCCGTTTCACTTCCACAGCACACACCTTGTACAGGTCTTTGTCAGCCATTACCATCTTCAGTTTCTTCTCTGGGACCTGCACACAAATATTAGGTGACGATAAAGAGTTCTTTGCCCTTTCTGCCTTCAGCTCATCTTTGGTATGGTACAAAGTTTATTCATTTTTAAAATACAAAACAATTCCATAACAATATAAAAAAGATACAAGAGATTTAAAATGAAAGAAGAAAAAATCTTATTATATCTGCCCCTTTTTTCAAACAATTATTTCAATCATAATAATTTTCAAGTAACAGAACAAAATGAATAACTTTCTAATTTTTCTAATTCTAATACAAAACACACACTAAGCTACTTCTTTTTTTTTTTTTAACAATTCAGCTTTGATCTTTTTCTTAAATGTACACATTGACTTGACATTTTTCACGTCACTCTCTAGAACATTCCACAATCCAACTCCTTGGATTGAGGTAGACCTTCCCTTCAGACTAGTTCTGAATTTTGGTTTGACAAATATCTCTATCCCCTTAAGATTATAACAACTTTGTCTTTTAACAAAATTTCTTTGGATATTTAATGGTAATGTGTTATTTTGAGCCCTATACATAACTGCTAAAATACTGTAATCTACCAAATCATGGAACTTCAATAAGTTCAGTTGATAAAATAATGTGCTTGATGGGTGACTGTAATGCTTTCTGGTGATAATTCTTACAGCTCTTTTCTGTAAAATAAAAATAGGTTTTGTAAATGTTTTACACGCTTTCCCCCAAACATCAATGCAATAGATTAAATGTGGAACAATGATTGTGTTATACAACATGTACAGAGCTTTATCATTTAATAATTCCCTGACTTTGTATAGTACTGCAATAGATTTAGATATTTTTGTTCTTACAGAATTGATGTGATTTTTCCATGTTAGCTGTTCATCAATGATTACACCCAAAAATTTCATCTCATTAACTCTACAAATCTCAACACCCTCAATTTTAAATGGATCATCAACAGTTCTCTTTTTGTTACTAAATATCATGTATTTAGTTTTATCTAAATTTAATGATAATTTATTACGTTTAAACCAAGTTTGTATTTTATCAAATTCTGTCTTCATCAATTCCAACATCCGTTTTACATCTTTACCCAAACAGAAAAATGTGGTGTCATCTGCAAAAAGGACACATTTGAGGAGTCCTGATACATTCACTAAGTCATTCACATATAAAATAAATAACTTTGGTCCAAGTACAGAGCCTTGAGGAACTCCACACGTGATATTGCACAGGTCAGATCTTACACCATTTATTTGTACAAACTGTTTCCTATCTTTCAAATAGCTAGATACCCAGTGTAATGCTGGTCCTCTTATACCATATTTATTTAATTTTTCAAGGAGAATAGTGTGGTCAATAGTATCGAATGCTTTTTTTAAATCAACAAAAATACTAACACAATACTGTTTTTGATCGACAGCAGTTGTTATTTGTTCTATTAATTCCATGAGAGCCATTCATGTAGAGTTTTTTGCTCTAAACCCATACTGACTGCTACTTAGAATGTTTTGTTTAGTAATAAATTTATCTAATCTGGTCACAAATAGTTTTTCTAGAATTTTTGAGAACTGTGGTAATAAGGATATTGGTCTATAATTATTGAACACACATTTATCACCATTTTTAAAGAGAGGAACTACCTTAGCTACTTTCATATTGTCTGGAAATATTCCTTTTGAAAATGATAAATTACAAATATATGTAAACGGCTCGATAACATAACTCATTATGTCCTTTACAAACATCATATCCATGTCCACCCAGTCTTTTGATCTCTTATCTGTAAGATTTTTTACAACATTCATTATTTCTTCTTTGTCAGTTCCATTAAGAAGAATACTGTTGTCACAACCTATAACATCTTTAACTCAAGTACTACAATTATTTGACTTCAACGACTACAGAGTAATAGTGGCCTGTACAGTGTAGAGGAAAAAAAGCTACTTTCTACAACTAAAGTTCATTAATCTGTCCTAATGGACGGCTGAGACGAGCTGGTCTGGAAGCTCAGTCCTCACCTCCTTCTACAGGTGTGCAGTGGAGAGCATCCTGTGCTCCAGCATCAACGTGTGGCATGGAGGCTGCACAGCTGCAGAAAGAAAAGCTTTGCAGAGAGTGGTGAAGGCTGCACAGAAGATGTTGGAGTCAGTCTCCCCACCATCACAGACATCTACACCTCCAGATGCAGGAAGAGGGCCACCTGCATCATGAAGGACCCCACTCACCCAGCACACACACTTTTTGCCCCACTCCCCTCAGGAAGGAGGTTAAGGAGCATTAAGTGTAGAACCACTAGACTGAGGAACAGCTTCTACCCTGAGGCTGTTAGACTCATGAATCTTTAACCAGAATAATCACTGTGAAAAAATCACATGTTGCTGCTGATCTGTTTCAATGTTGCTGCTGATCTGTTTCATGTTACTGCTGATCAGTTTCAATGTTGCTGCTGATCAGCTTCATGTTGCTGCTGATCTGTTTCACGTTGCTGCTGATCGTTTCACGTTGCTGCTGATCGTTTCACGTTGCTGCTGATCGGTTTCACGTTGCTGCTGATCGGTTTCACGTTGCTGCTGATCGTTTCACGTTGCTGCTGATCGGTTTCACGTTGCTGCTGATCTGTTTCATGTTGCTGCTGATCTGTTTCATGTTGTGTTCATGTGTGCACATCAGCTCACACAGACTCATGTTCGTGCTGCTGTTCAACGTAATGTTTTTATGTTATTAGTGTATATTTAGTTGATGTTTTTCTTAGTTCATATCTTAGATCTTATTACTGGTTTTCTTTTACATTTTATTGTTGGATGTAACTGGGACCCTGTGGACATGATGTCGTTCCACCACATGGTGTGTGAATGACAATAAAGAATGCCTGAGTCTGTAACAAGGCTAACTTTCAGTGTCGTCATGAAACAGGGCTGCCACAGTTAAATCAAAGCAGCTAGTACAAAGAAGAGGCTGTGATTCAGTCACGTTTACAGATATTGATCTAAAATTTCATGTGGTAGTAGATGGAAGTCATCTACTTTTATACATTTTGATTTAACCTTCATTTATACAGGCAGTGTCACTGAATGACGAGGACTCGTTTTGTTTAGGAGCAGATGGTGGGAGTTAAAGGCCTTGTTCAAGGGCCCAGAGTGGTGCAAATGAGGGTGGAGGCAGGTGTGGGTGCGCCACCTTTTCCACCCACATTTTGATGTTGGTGGTCCGGGAAGTTGAACCGGCGACCTTCTGATCACAGGCTCACTTTTTGTAACCTCTGCGCCACCACTCCCCATCTTCAACACATGGTCTGAGTGTGACAGTTGTTTTCAAGACTTGACAAAAACGGCTTCAACTCGGACATTTCTCATCACCAGAGGATGTTGGTGTGAAACTAACGGAACAGGTCAAGTACATAATTGTAGGCCTACAATTATCACCTGCAATAAAGACTCCAAATGTGTTCTTTGGTATCTCTAATGTCCCAGTAAGGCCTCTGAAAGGTGTGGGCCGGACTGGAGGATTGTGCTATAATAACGTACCTTGGGTAGATGCTTCAGCACCTGCATCACTACTGGCTGAATGGATGTCATTTTAACGAGAGGAAAGCTCTTCTCCAGCAGCTCTTCAAGCTTTGTGTATCTGAAACACACAAGTGTTTTGGCTGTAATGGGGTCACAAACCATGAGTCCAAGTCAGATCCAAGCCACCACTCACCGGTCTTCCTCTTTCCCCTCTGCAATAATGGCAACTCGCTCCAGGAGTTTTTCTCGAAGCTCGTCAAACACAGACTGGTGGAACTCGAGTCGAGGAGTCCCGTGGAGGTCGAGGAACGGCAGAGCAGACTGCAGCGTGGGCAGCAGGATGCCATTTTCCATCTGCAGGAGTGACACAGAGACCCGTCAGTGTTTTGTGTAGCTTGTTATAAAGCACCAAGTCAGAACTAGTCTCACCAGGGATCAAAGAACTAGTCTCTGCTACTACCACACCAGTGATCAAAGAACTAGTCTCAGCTACTACCACACCAGTGATCAAAGAACTAGTCTCTGCTACTACCACACCAGTGATCAA